TTATTGTTTCTACCTCGGTTTCTACCCTATAAAATTCGCTATTTATTTATTGCTATTAATCTTAACCTCAGTTTTCTTTGAATTTATTTTCAGATTCTGCGTTTGCTTATATGTATTTCCAGATATTTCAGATTTAAAGCAAAGTGATGTGTATTTTAAATGGACAAGATTTTGAAGATTCTAGATATGAAATATTCAAGAAAAAGTTTAAGATTCTATAAGCTCATCTTATTTACAGAAGTTCTATTTTGATTCTGTCAAATTTAGAGCTAAAACACAACTAAGATGACAAACATAGAGTTGTTGAGTACCTATGTCAAGCAGCATTCTATGAATTGCTTATTTTTTTTGAGCCTCAGATATAGAGGAAGATTTAAAAGGAAACTTCATTGGCTCATAACTTTTGAAGTCAAGTTTTGAATTCCTCAGATCTAGATCAAGAATAGTTAGTGTAGTGGACTCTAGTTTTTACAGGATTTTTTTTTTACTACTTTGATTTTTCACTCCAAATGTTGTGTATATTTATTTATAAATTAATTGCTCAGAATAATTTTAGATTTTCAATTGATACTTGTCAATCTGTGGTCACCTCGGTGGTCACTATGGACTGGGTTCTGGTCAATATTGATAAACCCACTGGGTTTTCAAAATGAGATTTTGTGTATGCCAATTTTTAGGAAGATTCAGGAAAATCTGAAAGAAATCTGTAAAGATTCAGGGAAATCTGAGGAAATCTATGGGAGAATTAAGGAAATCTGAAGGAAATCTTCTCAGAAATCTTACTGTGTGAGACCTTCCACACGTTCAAAATTTTATTTTCTAATGATTGAGAATATTTGAGAGGATATTATGTTACCAGGTTTTTTACTGAAATAAATAGTATATTACATACCGAGGTGGAAAGTGTTTCATTACTGTCGAGAGATTAGTTAGTTAACTGAGACGCGAAGCGTCGAAGTTAACTATAATCTCGAGACAGGAATGAAACTTCCTACCGAGGTTTGTATACTATTTTATTTACAACAATTACAACCCTCATAATTTCGACTAAATACTAAAAAAAATTTTAAAAATTTGTTGACAAGTTCTGACTCATCTAAAAAAACGTTTGACATGCAGGACTCGTCTTAAACATTTTAAAAAATGAGAACTTACTTTCCACCCGGGTGGAAAGTGAGCACTTTCCACCCGGGACCACTTTCCACCCGGGTGGAAAGTAAAATTCAAAAAAGTGTCACTTTTAAACTTTTGAAAAGTCAGAAATGTCAACATTACGTATGTGGTTGTAAATAAAATATTATACCCGAGATACCTCATCTATCTATAAGCCCGATTTATTATAGCTCCACAGATGTTTACGAAATCAGAAAGATGAGCAGTGTGATGTATTAATATGCTGTGATTAAAAAAATGAAATATCGATTTGTAATGACCATTGCGCACCCGGATAACATATCTGGTTTTCGTTACCAATCGGCTTTGATGGGCGTCATCCACTGAAAGCTGATGTTCTCCCGCTCTCACGCTGCATGGCATTCTATGGGTAATACCAAGTTGATCTTAAAGTAGGATGGCATCACGATAACCTCGGTCAACAATGAAAATATCATCCTCCTCAAAAAAGTTGGTGACCTTAGTCAGCTATTTTTTTGAAGAGCTAGTTTCTCTAAATACCAGTGCGATTTTGTTATTTGCTATCCAGGTATGGAAAATTATGCAGTTTTTTTGCAGAAGATTGAAATAACTTCTAACTGCTATTTTTGTAACGTCAGAGACGTATGCAGCAACCTGTGCAGCAACTATCAAACTTATATTTTGATGATCCATTCACATATGGTAAAAGAATGTATGCAGTTATGCACCTTTTCCTTGGATAAAAAAAAAAAAGATGAATCTTCTTATGCCATAAAAATCACCATAATATGCACAAGATCAGCAGCAGTGCAGTATTATCAAGTTAAAACTGAATTCACAGACTGTTTTTTCCTTCTCCAGTAAAGATTTAATGCTTATATGCCCTTCTGATATGGGAAATGCCACTAAAAAGCTATCTTTCCGATTATATAATCCGTTTTTTTTTTTTGGGAAAAATGGATTTTTTTTTCTTTTGAGAAGTAAGAAATGAATGGGGAAAATAAGACTTTAGATTTTTTTCTGTTCAGATGAAACAATATACTGATCACTTATTTTGTTTTCGGAAATGTGGTGAGCGTAAACATAGCTACTTCCAATATATCAATTTTTACGTACGCCATTAACATTAATATTTGACTTTTGTTCACTGGCTTATTTTTGCGGTAGGGGAAATTAAAAGTTTTTTTTTTTCGGAAGATTGGTTAACCCTTTGGGTTAATCTTTTTCAGTTTTGTAATGTTATAGCTAACTTAACTGATAAAAATAGGTGCTGAGTATGCTAAAGCATAGGCTTGATGGCGCCACTTTGACACTCTATATCTCGGATACTACTCGATGTACCCCCCTTTTTTTTGCACGTAAACTATAAGGGCAACATGGACTACATCATATAAAAAATTCAGACATTTTGACCGAAACCGATTTTCTGTGTATTTAGTGCGTCGTACTTTGTTTAATTAATCTTTTAGCTTCATTACCCCAAGGTCCGAAAGTTTCCACAGTAAAAGGAATAAAAAGAAAACCTCGGTCCTGCAGTTCGTTATATACTCCTGGACAAAATTATCGCACCACCACTGCACATAAGCAGTGGTGCGATAATTTTGTCAAGGAGTATATTTGAGCATATAATATTCATTTATATTTTCATGTATATTTATATTCTGTAAATTGTGAAGTAGGTACCTAAGCTGTTTTCAATTCCTTATGAGTTTATCTATTATATTAAAAATTCTCTTTAACTATGATTTCTTGACGCATACAGAATTGTTATACAGGGAGCTGGGTGTATATAAACTAGAGCAGGTCCTAAATTTTGAACAATGTAAATTAATGTTTAAAATAATTATTAATCAGCAAAAATGCAACTCTACCATAGTATTTTTGAACGAGATACATAATTAACATACTAGATCAGAACAAAATATTTATATGTACAGTGTGATTTTTCAAGTGTGCAACATATGGGAATTTTTTTTAGTGATAGCACAACCCAAATACAAACAAGGCCAAACGTTGGTGCATGTCTGATAATCATATTAGGTGCACTTAGAATGGTTGCAAGTCAAACAGCATACAGGGTAGCTCAAACAATATCAAAGCTGGTACTGTAAAGTACCCTTATTTTAGAAAATTCAGCAAAATGTTATAGAGGAAAGTTGTTTGGAATTAAAAGTTATGCCTAAATACCAAAACATAGCCTCCTGAGATTTTTTTTATTTTCTTTCGAAAAAAATCTATAATTTCTATATTTTTTTTATTTTTTATTTCCGCCCTTAAGACACTCAAAAATTAATTAAAATCCGAGTTAAAATCAAATCAATTTTACATAAATTTGTTCAAATTCAAGCATATTTGTAAAATTAACTTAGATTTTTAATTTTTAATGGAATCACAAAATTCATGTTTGTTGCAATGATATTCAACACAACTTTAAAATGTCGCAATTTTTTTTTTTAACAAGTTAAAACATTACTAATGATAATAGCCATATTAAAAAAACTCTCTTTAAAGTGCAAAAGTTTTATTTTATTTAAGTAAATATTAGTAGAATTTTGATATTTTTTGAGCCACCCTGTATGATGTTTGACTTGCAACCATTCTAAGTGCACCTAATATGATTATCAGACATGCACCAACTTTTGGCCTTGTTTGTATTTTGATTGTGCTATTACTAAAAAAAAATCCCATATGTTGCACACTTAAGTAATGACACTGTATACCTCACAGCAGAATTAATATACGCCTGAATTGTCCATTGGGATCCATATCTAGAACATTTAATGATTTACCCAATAATATTAAAAATATACCTACCCTGCAGCTGTTTACAAAACGATTTAAAGAACATATAAAATAGATATTAGTTTAATTGCCCATATAGTTTGTTGTACTCGAGGTTGTACTGTACTTCTACGAAATCTAATAGAATGCATATACCTACATATTATACTAGTTGAATTAAGTGTTTTTCATAGATCAGTTGTTGATTGTTATTATTTATTATTATTATTATTATTATTTTTTTTTTCTTCTCATTATTGTTATTATTTTTTTTATTTTGTTTTTTTTTTTTTCATAATTTTACACTGGTGTGTTATGGAGTGGGTATGTTATTGTTGTCTTTTGGATGTTTATTATATAATACAACCTAGTTTTGTTGAGCTTCTGTATTTGATGGAAGTTATTATTGAGAAATAATATTTGAAAAAAAAACCACTGTATATTTAGTATATTTAGATTAGCTTGTTTTTCTTGTGGCCAGTATTTTTATATACTGATTTAAGAAACTTATAAAATTGTAATTTATAAATTGTTTGAAGGAAATAAATGATTTTCAAAAAAAAAAAATCTTAATTTGGAAGAACAAACCAAGCATTTAGGATAAAGGAATTGAGATTTGAGAATGAAAATTATTGAAAATACAACCAAAACAAAAGAGAGAACCAATTCGACAACTGAACAAACATTCTTATCGATCTACCCCTGTACAATTCAAGATATCAATAAAACTTTGAAACGATGCTCATCTGGAAAGACAAGGAAATGGAAATCATTTTACTATTGTACGTCAGACACGTTTCAGTGATAATTATTCCACAAATTAGAATTATATAAATGTTTGTAATCCGAGAACATCAAAAATTTGAAATTCCATAAAATACAGACCTGTCATTTGTACAAGAAATGTATTGAAAACACTTTTAATTGCCTTTGTCCAAATAAATAATGTCCTAAAGAGTGTCCATTTATTTAGATTTGAATAATAAATTCGAACACCCTTTGGTAGCAAAAGGCAAGGACACACGTAACTACCGAAAACTGTCACCACTACATCAAGTAGTTAAGGCAGCCAAACGAAAACTTACCAAAATGAGGTTAATCCAGTGTCCCGATTGATCCGAAAAGGAGACTGGGATGGTGTCCCGGGACGCCTCCAGCGTCCTCCACGTACATTTCACGAGTAGCACTTCGGTTTTAAGGTTATTAACAACAAACAAAAACAACTTCTGTGTTTTAATTTTCACGAAATTTTAAGGGCGAAGCTCTCGTGTACGCGCAGCCCGTCGGATTCTACACTTTGCGAGCGAGTGCGCTTGCGTCGGAACTGTCGCCCCAGCTGATTGAGTACTGAGATTTTTTTTTAATTTTTTTATATTTTGTATTGTTTATTGTTCAATTATTATTGCTTTTTTCCTTTGGTCAATGGTTACTTTTTCCTAATTTTACATTAATTTTACCCATAATATGAACTGGAAACATTACTGTGGAAATGTTAAAAGATATTCTTGTAATTTTGTATAAATCAATAAAATAAGAAGTTTTTCTTTTAGGAATCCCTAATTATTGTTTTTATTATGTGATTATATAATTATTTTTCTCTCTCTAAACAATAGTAAACTTTAAATTATGTAAAGTTGATAATTATTTATTTGAGAGAAAATATATGGTGGCGCCCTCTATAATTTTATCAAATAACTTTCTTTTCGATCATTTTATGTACTTTGGCGGCTACTTCTTTTGATTTCACTATTAGATCTGTTCGCACAGAAATCACAAACATAGACCTGAATTTCATTGGTTGAAACCGTTAACTGGTTTTTGATTTCTGTGCGAACAGGACCGGAACGATATTGGACCGAAAACCGGAACGAAACCGTTTTTTTTTTGCGGACCGGAACCGGAACGAAACCCATATTCCAGAGAAATGTTGTAGGACAGGCAGAACCGGAACCGATATAAATTAATCGGTTCTTACCGGTATTTTTCGGTTCCAAGATTTTATAAATTAAGCTGTTTGCTGTTTGGTTCTATCATATTAAAATTAACACTTTAAAAAACAGACCGTTGGACATTGGATAGTGCGCATTTCTGAATTCGGCTAGGCTACACGGCTACACCAACACCAAGGATTTTAGATACTACTACAGGATTGTTTGGAGTCAAATTCATATGGTGTTGCACCGTTGCTGACGTCATCAACGGTCTCGTTAGTGGTTTGCGTTCGTAGTTAAGAATATATATGTATGATGAAAAATATAAATTAAATTTGATTAACATAATAGTCAATAGACAAGAGGAAGATGCAAATGAGATCTAAACAAGGGTTGTTTTAGAATATTAAATAATGTACTATGGTTCTAAACCGTTTCGAAATACAATCCAATCCACGTTTTAAAACCATTTCCTCGTGCCGAGAAATTATGACGTCATTGTGAAACTGATTTAAACCAGTTCTGGAAAATGTTTCAAAACTTTGAGATGCGAGAAAACACCTCCTAATCCGTGGTGCAACTGGTGCAAGCACTACGTCAAGGCGAGAAACGACACGCTGTTACGTCATCACTGATCGAAAACACAAAAATTTATTTTTAATAGTAATTATTATGATTAGGGAGTGAACTCTGCGCCTACCGGTAGGTCCCATTTGTTTCATTGATTGTGTGCCTACCGTATGTATAACGCTCAAACATTATGGTAGGTCCTCAATTGCCACATGATATAACGCCTATCGGTAGGTACTGTTTGTAAAAAGAATCCTGAGCCTACCGATAGGTTCATATTAATTCAAGAATCCGTCGCCTACCTATTGTACGCTATTATTGTGCATATTTGTGCATTTACGTTCGATGTGTGATATATTTGAAAAAGGTTTTCTACGTTTTTGGTGGATTTAAGCTTCCGAGAATCTTCTCTTTGAAGTTTGGCCAGCGGAGCGAGCAATCCAGAGGCTCAATAATATTTTAAATTTCAAGGGGTTATGCCTATTTAATAAAGGTTTTTCACGTTTTTGGTGGATTCACCGGCGAGCAGAGCGAGCAATCGCAGACTCAAAAATATTTTGAACAAGAAGGTGATATATTTGAAAAAGGTTTTTCTCGTTTTTGATGGATTTGCTCTCCCGAGGATCCTCTATTCGAGGTTTGGCCAGCATAGCGAGCAATCGAAGACTCAAAAATGATTTCAAGGTGTATGCAGAAGGATTTTCAATAGGTTGCCGTCTAAAATGACGCAGATTTCAAACATCAACAAGTTTAAAGTCCAAATTAGAAAGATGTTAAGTACTAATAAAGTCTTATTACTCAGTGGATGAAGTTCCTAATGACAAATTTGTAAATAAACAAAATTGTATTAACGCATTTAGCTAGCAAGAGCTGACTGGTAGGATATACGGATTCTAATGTAATAAAACACCTCCAGTAGGCGCTTGATCAATTTACGAAAAAGGTCCTACCTACCAGTAGGCGCACAATCGGTGGATGAAAAAGGACCTACTGGTAGGCGTACGACCGTTGGAAAACAAAGGACCTACCGGTAGGCGTAGGATTCACTCCCTTATGATTATTAAAGTTGTTGCAGATAGGCAGAGAAATCCAAAAAAAATAAACCACAAATTATAGAAACATAAATTTTTCTGTAATGACCGTTTTAAGGGATGCTTCTTGAAATGGTCAGTGCAAATGGCCATTAGATATTTGTGAAAAACTATACCGGTATGAACCGTTAAAACCGAAATTATTGGTCCGAACCGAATCGAAATATTTCTCTTAGAACCGAAACCGTAACGGAACCGATATTCGTCATGACGCTGTGGACCGGAACCGGAACGGAACCGATATTTCATTTCGGTCCGGGTCCCTGCCTACACTGTACGGCGTACAGTGGCTAAATAAACCTTTACATACAGTGGAGACAATAGAGGTCCCGCCGCCATCTTGTTCCCAACCTCTTGTTACTTTTAAATATTGATATATAAGATTTAAATGGACATCTATCATAAAAAATTGAAATCGATATATTTGATAACCGTTATTAGGTCTATCAAATACGTTGTTTTCCCTGTTTTATGATGGATGTTCACCTAAATCCCATATATTCATATTTAAAAGGAATAAGAGGTTGGGAACAAGATGGCGGCGTTTTCAATATAAATATATGGGATTTCAGAACCAATCAAAAATAAGACAGCAATTGTCGCCACTGTGGGTAATAGAGTCACTGTAGTACGGCGGATGCAACCGCAACATCCTCTTTAACAAGCGCTTTTTAAAACTGGTACTTTTAGAAATTTCTATTGCTTAGAATACGCATTTTTAAAAGTGACCAGTTTTAAAAAGCGCTTTTAAGTTAAAAGAGGATGTTGCATACAGCTGCTAGTATTTATATTTTTCGGATTTAATTTGGTATATAAAAGTTGCTGTTACTTTTACTATTTAGCAATAGGTGGCGACACTATTGCCTACACAAACGTCAGGAACTCCTATTATTTTAGTAAGAATATGTTATTGTATATCTATCTGCTTCTTTTTAAATGTGATAGAAAAAGACGCACATACATTCGCATCGTAGTTTTAATTACCTAATCGATTATGACATTAGATTGTCAAACAAAAACATTTATTTATTGTTTTCCAGTGTTTTTATCAAACAAAATTATCTCTGTTTTTTGTCCATTTTTCCATCCTAATTTATCAATATTCGTTATGGTTGGATTGTAAATTTTTCCATAAGTGTTTTTTCCATTGAAATCTTTAAAAATTCATAATGCAGAACGTGATAAATAGCGTTAAAGGCACTGCCCTTGCTGTTGGCGAATACCTGACCCCTGTATTAAAGGTGAATATTTTTATTTTTGAAAATAATTGATATAAATTGCATCTATTAAACTTGTGCTTCATAAAAACCCTTCAAAATGGTCTTATTTCTAGAACCATTAGTTTGTTTTTGACTGTCAAGTTCTTAGTTTTGTATTTTAATAGATTTTAAAAAAAGGTCCTCCTGTGGTACTTTGTACTTTAAATACAATTTTGATTCTGTAGGTACTTTGTCGAGATTTGCATGTTACTTTAAATCAATACAACAAATAGGTTCTTAACTAGTTTTGTGTGAAACTAATTATTGTATATATTAAAATAAAGATCTTATAATACTCTAAACTATTATAGTACATATTCAAAAAAGTAAGGTTAGAAAACACCTTACATCTTCTTTGTTTAATATTTCTTTTCAGGAATCTAAATTCCGCGAGACAGGGGTGTTAACACCTGAAGAATTCGTCGCTGCAGGTGACCACTTGGTGCACCACTGCCCCACCTGGCAGTGGGGCTGTGGAGACGACTCCAAAGCCAAACCTTACTTGCCCAAAGACAAGCAGTTTTTGATTACCAGGCATGTGCCTTGTTCTAGAAGGTGAGATGGTACCTTATCTTGTTATTATAATCCCAATAAACATTTTTTGCAACTTATATAGTAACGCCAAGTTATATAATGGGTATATAATAGTAACAAAGATATATAAGAAGGTTTCCAAGTTTTATAATCTGCAACCTATGGTAACATAGTTTTATAAAGTATTTATAAGTTTACTCTAACTTACAGGTATATAATAAGGTGATGTAACTATTTCCATCACCATTTTATAAAACTTTTAGTACCCGTTACTAAAGTATTTATAAGCAATCTTTATAAAGATTACTGCAACCTCATTTATATAACTAAAATACCCCTAGTTATATAGAAGTGTTGTCAATCACCTTTATAAAAACTGAAAACAAGTAGTATTTGCAGTATATGTTATAAAACTTTTGGTAACGATCATTTCTTTTATAAAACCTTTAGTAAAACCTCGAGTAAAACCAAACTACCTAATTTGACATATCTGTGGCTTGGTCGAAAAAGGGCCTATCTAACAAAATCAAGTTTTGAGATAATCGAGGATTTGTGAGAGAGAAAACTTGAAATGCTTATTACTTCATTGTTACTTTTTCGAATTTATTAAAATTTTGGTAGGGTCTACTAAAAAGCAGAATTATTCATATAATACATTTATGACAAGTAGCACTTGGGACCTAAAAAGTGCTACTTAGGCCTTATTGTTAGTAAGACGGTACTTAGGCCGTCTTTAATTCACTTAAAAGGTTTTTTCATTTTTTTTTCAAAGCTACTATTAATCGAAATTTGACTGAAAATTAAATTTGTTTCAATTTTTAAAGAAAAAAAAAAACACCAAAAAAAGTTTTTTAGAAAAGGCAAACACTTCTATTATTCGTCATATTTCACTGAACTTGCTGCCTGCTGGAAGAACTTCATCTTCTTGGCCTGTATCGTTTAATGATTTTAAATTCATAAAAAAAGTCGACTATTGGTTTTGGGATGTATGTAACACAAAAAACTTCTGATTCATCCAGTATCTTTTTGAGAAGGGGGAGGGGATATAAGTTGTGAAATTTTTCTAAAGTGGGTTATGCTGGTTCTCCTTCTGTTTTATTTTTGGGAATTGTGAAATGAGCTTTTTGAACAAGACATGTATAAAAATCCTCCTGCCACATGGCAATCACTTTAATTCCCCCTTTTCGCTGTATAATTCTGATAAGTGTAGATCAGTCTCTAAGCATTTCTATGTCAATTGAAGTTTTTTGGCTTCTGCAGTTGCAGCTTGAATCGAATCTGCTTCGAGGATATGGGCCTATGTCGTACTTAGAATGCAGCAAAATTCGAATTCCCAATTAATAAGGACCTAAGTAACATTTGAACCTATAGACAACTAGAGAATAATTCATATCTATGTTTCAGTTAGGCCTGCTTTTATTTTTAGTGGTGAAATTTAAAAGGTCCTAAGTAAATATAGAACCAAAATTGTAAAATTAAATTAATCTAAGTTGCAGATAGGTCCTATAGGGAAAAACCAGATAGAATTTTAAAAAGACGTAAGAGCACATAGACCAAATTTTTTTAGGCCTATCAACCACTTATGCCCATTTGAGTGTTTAATACACTTTATTCTTATAGGTAGATAATACCAATGAAAATGGGTCCTAACTGAACATAGGTCGTTAATATGCATTATAACTTTTACACTTAGGTCCTTTTTACATTTAAATTTTAATAACCTAAGAGTTTTATCCGCTTAGGACCTTTTTCATTTGGAAGAGCACTATTTATTTGGTTAGTTAGGCCCAATAGCTCATTTTTTGAAAATTTGCACTTAGACCCTTTTTCGACCAAGCCACAGATATGAGAATAATCAGGTGTCTGTTGTTGTTTATTATTGTTATAAGAAATCTGTGCATCGTGCTTTAAAAAAAAAACGAAGTTCAGCACATTATTTTGCCGAAAAATTTCAAAAAACTTTGATAAAATCTCAAGTTCAGTGCCCTCAATATCTTCCATGAGGACACTATACACAAGTTTCTGGACAAGAACATAAATTACATGAGCGAACTGATAAACATGATGATTAGGTATAGCAAATAACACTATTTTGAGACCAAAATTGCCGATAGCGGCGCTGAAGGCATCTGGTTAAAAGTTATGTAATGTTACTAATAGTTATAAAATAGGTATTACCTATGGTGATATTATAGTTTCGAGAGTTTATATTGTTACGAAAGTGATCCGCCATATTTTTCTACCCAAAATCAAAATAATTAAAAAGATGTGTTGCAAAAACACTGGGTTTAGCTGATTTTGATGCAAAAAATACAATAATTGTTTAATACTGGCATATGTAAAACGGAAATGAGATTAATTTGTTCTTAAATCTCATTTTCACTAATATTTATATATGTAGGTATATTTTGTGAGAAAACTGATTTGAAATTAATAAGAAGTGAATATTTCAAGGGCCCCTGCGTTTTTTCGAAGTACCAATTCTACTTTTGCAGTAGAAAAAGTTTCCCAACTATATTTTGAGTCTACCAATGCTGTAAAGTTATAACAAAGTACCATCGTTTTCTAATAGGTAAATATTATTAATATTTGGACTCCATATTTGTTTTTATTTAGTAACAGACATCTTGAAATAAAATTGTGGAAATAGAATGGAAGGAGACAATTTAAAACAATGTATTTGAGAGAGTAAAAATATGTAATTATAATGATGACAGAATTGAAAAAAGTTATAATGTAGTTACCACAATATTCCCATTACCAATGGTTACATAATTTAAAGTTATATACCGTTACTAAACACAGGTTTTCGAAACCTTTATAAACGCTCAATTTAAGCTCTTTAAAGGGTTTATAGGAGTAACAGAAATATTTCCTTAAATGGATATAAAACCTTAAGTTTACATTTACGGTAAATATTATAAAAACAAAAATTTTTATTGGGATAAAACTACTGTAGAATTCATTAAGTACCTATCTATTCATAGTGTTTTTTTTTTAAAAAATCATCAAATATTGTGTAGATCTAAGGTCTGTACTTATCTCACAAAGATTACAAACCAGTGTTTTTGGTTGGTATAAATTCAGACCAGTTTTCTGACTATTAACATGGGCTCCAATTGGTTTGTGATTTCTATGAGAACAGACCATAGACTGCTAAAGTCAAGGTTTTATAATAAGAAGATTTTGGGTGAATAGCAGTGTTGCCAATCTGATTTTTGTCATTACCCATGGGAAATTTTGGAAGAAAAAAATTTTTTTTTACTCGTTATCATTAAGCAAAACACCCAACGTTTCACACTCAACTTTTTGGGTTAGTTCGAGACGTAGTTTTATGTAATTATAAATTTTTTTCAAATAATTTATAAGGAAAACCATAGTTTTTATTTTTTCCTATCCTGCAGGTGATTACCTGCAAATCGGCAACACTGGTGAATAGACAATAGGCCACTTTTACATATCTACACTGAAAAAAAAGATTCCTTAATTCAAAGAAATTCGCACTTTATTCAATGAAATTACGACTTTGGATATGGCCAAGTGAACATTCTCTTCAAAAAAGCTGAATATTTTCTTGTCATAGGATTGTTTGAATACTTTACTGGAAAGAAATATATGTTTGTCTCAAGAATACTATCCCAATGTATTCAACACAATTTCCTTGTTTTAAGGTACCTAATCAACTTTTCAATTTTCTTGCCCCAAAAAATTTATTCAATTCCATTGAAGACCAAAGTACTTAGCTGAAGATCTCAATTTTTTCACTAGGACTCATCATGGCTTCTGTGAAGATTAGAATTTTTTGCCTGGAATTTTCAAAATCTTCACACAATTTCACAGGAGTTCAAACGATTTTAGATTTTTAAAATTTTAGGTGATTTTGGAGCATTTTAGGGGTTTTTGGAAAGTTTTTAAAGATTTTGAAGGATTCTTAGAAATTTTAACAGATTTTTAAGGTTTCCAGAGAATTTTTAAAGGAAATAAATAACTATATTTAGGAAAGTTAGTGATTTTTTAAGATTTTGCGGGATTTTTCAAGTTTCAATAACATTTTGTTAGATTTTGTAGGATTTTATGCGATTTCAAGAGATTTTGTAGAATTTTGTTGAATTTTCAAGGATTTTTAGGATTTTTAGTGATTTTATGTAGATCTTATAAGATTTTCTAGTATTTTCACCAGTTAACCACCCCTCGGTTGCTTCCTTGTCTTTTATTAACACTGTAACAAAGACAATGCTATCGTTAAATGTACTAAAAATAAACATCATTATTTCACAGCTCACTACCTAGAACCTATTTATGTCCTTTACTTACTACCCTATACAAAAATAAAGGATACATGATAAAATAATTAATGAACTCTTGTTACCTAGTACAGTAAACCTAATTATTTGTCTCCATGTTGCCAAATTTTTCTTAAAATCTGTATTGAAACTTTCAAGATACCTTTACCAATAAAGATAAATATATTAAGTTAATTTTTCTTGAAAAAAGAAGATAAAAAAATATACAGGATTAGCAACTAAGCGCGCATCGGTCTAGAATTTCGTTCATATGTCAACTTATACCTAAGACACTATTTTATGAAAATATTTTTGGGTGCCTATACAGGGTGACTCAAAAAAGCGTGATTCAATAAAAGTTGCTTTTCTTAAATGAGACACCCTTAATTTTTTTGCATATATCAGGGTCCTTGTTTTTCAAACAGGGGAGCAGTGTTCCCAGGAAAACGAGTGTTCCGTCTTTCTCAGTGATATACAACTGATAATATAAGTAACAAAGACGGGGGACGCTGGTCCCCTGTTTCAAGAATAAGGACCCTGTTTACCTTACTTCACTAGGGCAAAGTTTGTAATTTGATGCTTAACAAAATGAATGTGTATGGAGTTTGGGAGATCCCCAATTATCATTTAGATACAAAATCCAAATCTGAGAATAATTTAGTCTATGGAATTTGGGGGACCACAAATGACCATTAGGACACAAAATCTCCACAAAAAAAAAAATTGAAATTTCCTTGTTTTAGTAAGAAGGTACCTTACGATGTAGATTTTGGAAAACTTTGGAAGGTCATAACTTTTTTTCTATTAAAGATAGAAAGCTGAAATTATCAGCGATTCTTATTGTAATAGAGGACCACAATCCCTGAAAATTTCAACTCAATTGAGCTTATAGTTTCTGAGATAAAATCGTGTTAAGCAATTTGGGGTGATTTATCAATTTTTCAATTTTTCTGAGTGCCTTTTTTTATAGATTTCAGCTCCAAATCTGAGAATAATTTAGTGTATGGAGTTTGGGAAATCACAAATGACCATTAGGACATAAAATCTCCACAAAAAAAAAATTGAAATTTCATCGTTTTAGTAAGAAGGTACCTTATGATGTAGATTTTGGAAAACTTTCGAAGGTCATAACTTTTCTCTATTAAAGATAGAAAGCTGAAATTTTCAGCGATTCTTATTGTGATATAGGACCACAATCCCTGAAAATTTCAACTCATTTGGCCCTATAGTTACTGAGATAAAATCGTGTTAAGCAATTTGGGGTGATTTATCAATTTTTCAATTTTTCTGAGTGCCTTTATTCATAGATTTCAGCTCCAAATCTGAGAATAATTTAGTGTATGGAGTTTGGGGGATCACAAATAACCATTAGGACACAAAATCTCCACAAAAAAAAATTGAAATTTCATCGTTTAAGTAAGAGATACCTACCAATGACCTTAATTTTAGATTTACTTATATACTCACATATTTGTTACGTCACATTATTACATAAAATACCAAAGTATATTATTGAATTTGTACAAAGTATCGGTTTTAGCCAATGAGAGGGCGTTTTCAATCACATGATTTTTTTGTTTGAATTTACTATTTTTATTTATCAATTAATTTAATAATCTGACAAGAAAATATTGTTTATTCTTAATTGCATTCATGTATCTGCGTCAAAATGTTTACCATATTGCTGGCATGTTAAAGTGGCCTATTCTTGAAGCAGACAAATCATTAAATTCATTACTATCAAATTCCCATTCTTATTTAGATGTGAACAAATGGAATACTCTGAAGAACTAGAAAAAGTAATTGTGTCCGATGACGCAGACAACGGTTGGGTGGACACTCATCACTACGACAAAGAACACACCAATGATAAAACCTCCGAAATGACTTTGGAAAGGGAAGAAAGCATGGAAGAAGCAGCATCCAAAGTCAAAAACGATTTGTTCGATGATGAAGAAGAGGAAGATGATGATGATGGAGACTTTTTAGATATGGAAGCTTTCGAAGAGAATGGATTGTTTGATGATGAAGATGTAAGAATTATTATATTGTTTTATATTGTATATTTGACATCTGAGTCATTATAATCTAATAAAAGTAACTGATTTATTTTAAAGTGTGTCTCAGCAGCCCAACTAAAGGCAGAAGCAGGTAAAAGCACTGAGGAGGGTGGAGAAATCGTTATGACGCGCACCTACGATCTGCACATCACTTATGATAAATATTATCAAACGCCCCGTTTATGGATAATCGGATATAATGAGGTAATAAATTTCATATCACGTACGATTATTATGACAGAGTAAATCTGAATCGCTTTGCATTTGTTATCTTTGTCACTTTGGATTGGTTCTTCTTGGTTCCTAAATTTTGTAGAGTAATTCTTGTAGCTTCTGGAGTACTGTGGAGTAAATATCGACTCTACAAGGTTCTGAAACTTTGTTGAGTTGTAGCATTGTAAAGTGCATTTTAATTCCCTCAATCTCTGGGGCTATGTAGAGTGACTTCTGGAGTAAATTTATAGATTGTCCTGGAATCTGGAGAGATGTGCAGCCTTTGTTGTTGTTCTTGTTAACTTATTTCACTAATATTGAAAAATTCTTATTAGAAACGTCAATTTTTAACCAACAAAGAACTATTCCAAGACATTAACAAGGATTACGCAATGAAAACTGTTACGCTCGAGACTCATCCTCACATCAGTTTGCCCAGAGTAGCTTCAGTGCATCCTTGCAGGTAAGAATTTCATGAATACTCTCTAGAAAACGCATTATTATGAATCGTATATGACTCACGTGATTTTTTTTTATTAAGGCACGCAGAAGTAATGAAAAGCATTATCGAAACAGTCACCGAAGGAGGAGGTGAACTTGGAGTACATATGTACATAATAATTTTTCTCAAGTTTATGCAATCTATTATACCGACTATCGAATATGATTATACTAAAAATTTTACCATGTAAAGCTGCAATAATGCATTTTTTTCTGGTCATATTTTGTTGTTTTGTGCTATATTATTGTTTAATGGAGGAACTTTACAACTATTTCCTCAGCATATTATTAATTGTTATTTTATATTTTGGCTTTTAGTAGGAATGTATATTTTATTAAATAAAATTTTTCGTCTACAAAGCAACTGAGTTCTTTCCATTGATTTGGTTGGATATATTGACCCCTCCCCTACAGGGGTTATGTGAAGAGATATCAAAAAATTTTAAATACAAAAGTTTCGGGATTTTACCTGAAATTTTTCGAATTCGATGTCAAAAACTTTTTTGTTCCTTCAGAAATGTCAAATTTTGACAGATGGTTGTTTTTTTTTTATGGAACACCCTATATATTACTTCATAGTTGAAAAGAGTGTATGGTTATTTCCTTGGGCAGCTGTTTTGTGTTTCACTTCGGAAAATAGCGGACTGCGATTAAAGAGAACAATATGAAAAATATTAATTTTTACATAAATTAAGGGTCGTAACCGCGAAAAGCAGGTAGTTGGAAAAAGCGCGTGCGATCGACACAAAATCTCAACGCCAAGTGTCCCTCTCTCAAACTAGTTAAAGAAGGAGGCCGTGCAAAACTTTAGGCCGTACTCACATAATGCATAAGGAATATAAACAGAAATAAACTTATAAAATAGAGAATACATAACATTTCCCCCCTCCTTGAAAGTATCCACTTTCAAAACTGAAATAAAATCCAAAAAGAAATGATAAGAAACAACAAATGCTTATACTAAAAACAAAGCTCACAAGCCTTTCATGTTCGTCACACAGAAAATTCACACATCAACACTGTTCATTGGTAGCAGACAGAGCTTTGAGAATGACCGTTTCAAATTTCCAGTTGGGGTTTTGATGGTGGCCACTCTAACAACACCGTCAGACCCTGGGTGTAGAGTTACTATGCGCCCTAACCCCCTTTGAGGGGCGGTTGGTTGTTCTCTTTGATTAGGACAAGATCGTTGAGTTGAAGTTGCCTCTTAGAAGCCTTGGACCATTTTTGCTTTTGCTGCATTTCCGAAATATACTCCACAGACCATCTTGTATTATTGTATTAGTTGATAATGGTCTAGTCTTTTATTCGGTATCGACATGAGATCTAGATCTGCTGCTACGGTTATTGGCCGACCAATAAGAAAATAGGAGGGCGTCAAAGGAGACATGTCAGGAGGGGTTGGAGGATAGGGGTGACATCGGACGGGAGTTCAACACAGCTTCGATTTGTGCTAGCAGCGTACAGAATTGTTCGAAAGTTAATGCTATTGTAGTGACGCGGAAGTAAACCACCAAGAAAACAATTAAAGATTTTGATTATTCTAAACAACTTAAGACCTAGGATCCAACTACCGAAAATTAATCAAGAATAACAAGGACTTACCAAACAACCATCCCAGGAGAGATCATCACTTGGAGAGCACAACCAGAAACTTCAATTAAAAATTATCTGAACATCGATATCCAGAAATTATTGAAAGCCGATACTCTATATTGACTAATACATTGGAATGTGAATAAAGCAAAAGTTCATGGACCTTTTTTTTAAGTGCTTTCAACAATTAACATTCCAAAGGAGCCGAAAATTTTCTAAAAGGACGAATAAATCATGCACGAGCCTATATGATGATACCCACTTAACAAACCACTTAGCGACGCCCTTGATAATTAATTAAAAGGGGACCAAATGCACTAATTGGTCGGATGATTCAACCACGAAAAATCGAGGTCAGAAACAATAAAGAAATTCAAGACAATTGAGGGAAACAGGAAATAAAAAGGCAACTCTGGCAGGAGAAAATCAGTGTTCGAGAAAGAACGAGTAAACCGGCAGAACTACGGCGTCAAAGACCCAGTGTCGGTTGAGTAATCAAGAAACAAGTAGTAATCAAGAATCGAGAGACCTGCGTGATTTGTCGAATTAACCGAGAGAAGAAGCACGACGTGAAATAACAGCGCGAAAATATTCGAGTTTTTTTTATTAAGTATTCATAATTAAAGTAAATTCTTTCGACCAATAAGATTTCCATGTAATCAGGTGTGGCCAGCAGTAAATATATTATTGTTAAATGTAAGTAGAGTTTTTTATGTTCAGCCAGAATTTGTAAAAGCAAAAGTGTAATCGAGTCAAACTGTAAATAAAAATTTTTACTTGGAATCAAGGAACCGAATGACCCTACAGCTTTTAGACCGGTAGCATTGGCCTCATAGACATCAGGACTATACCTTTTCAACTTCAAATTGGGATCAATCAATTTCAATTTGGAACGTAGCAATTTCAAATTAGGATTAATCAACTTTTAATTGGTAACTAACACGTTCAAAATGGGAATAAACAAAGTCAAATTGGAAATAAACAATTTAAATTTGGTACTAATCAACTTCAAATTGGAATTGTTGAATAAATTCCAAAGTTCTGCAAGTCAAACGGCAGTTACTTTTAAACCGTATTTTAAATTAACAAAATGCCTTACATTAAAGTACCTACCTGATGCAGAAAATGCTAAAAAGCAAAAAGCTGTTTTTAATAACAAAGGCGACTGAAAAGGATTGGCTAACACACTGATGGGTATAAAAAAATCTATATAGAAACCGAAAAAATTAGATTCTGAGGCAAATCGTGTTACTTTTGAGGTAAAGGTAGTTTTTAGATAATTTGGTCACGCAGAATTCATAAATGCCTGTTACCAATTCGAAATCGCAACCGGAAGTGAGATATTCGAGATGGCAGCCAGAAACGTGGAATTAACTTATTTTTCGTCTTCAGACCAATGAACTTGATTATAGGACATCAAATTATATGTTCTTAAGGGCGAAAAATAGACATAAAGTCGACAAAGCATTTTTATTATTTTTGTGAGCAAACATTATTAGTACCTAAATAATATTGTCGCTATGTGTATTTAAACATAGAGCCTGGCATAAATGCATCTCTTTGCAACCACGTGCACGAAGGGCATTTTATGAGGTCGGAATAGGCGCTAACCTCTTGAGGATTGGTGCGAGATGCCTAGACCCGTTAGTTTTCCAGCCGCAGTTTTCCGGAGAGGGAACATTTTAGTTACCAATATATACCTTATACAGGGTGTCCCACGACGTTTCTCCCAGGTAATAACTTCGGAACGCGTCATCCAATATAATTGAAAATTTGAGGATTTGGGTAACTTTTTGTGCCGCTTCTACCATTGTCATCCAATTTCACCAGTTTCGCTTCAATTTCGGTCAAGTGACGTAATCTTTCAAATCTTAAATGTAACTCAAAATCGGCAATGCCATATTTGTTAAGGCTTTGTTAAAGAAAATGATAAAAAATTATACAGTGGAACATGCGATGATGCGTTCCGAAGATACCATTTGGGAAAAACCTCGTGGGACACCCTGTATAGTTGAACTACAAATGCCTAATACCTTTACATTCGCAATGACTTGATCTGTCAGAGGAATAATTGATCCAAAGCCTGTTAGAAGGAAGCAGGAATCTCTTCTAAATAATTTCCACGCATACCCGTCTTTGTTATGGAAGATATTTCTTTCTTTTTTTTATATAGGTATTTCTTTGCGCTTTTTGAAAAAGTCTTTAAACTAAATTCGAACTTTTGGTAGGTAAGTGCAAATGGGCTCATTTCCTGCAGCTTTATTGAATTCTTCAGCTTCATCGAAATCATCTTCTTCTAGTTTGCTCAATATCTGTGGGTACAATATTTTCCACAAAGGTAAGTTTGTGCGCTCTTATTCCCTTAGCGTAAGTTTTTCCATCTAAAACCTTTTGTATTGAGCCCTCCACATAAGCAAAACACTTTCATACCAGAACTCTGCCAGGCCACTTATATCCATATGCTGACCTATAGCTTGCAAAAAATTTATAGATATATGCAGTCCACCCATTCTCAAAATTATACGCACCTGGTAAATATCTGAGGCTGCCGGTAGCTCAACAAGCTTACGATACAGAGCCTAATCCGTAATCAGTACAATATATTTTCCTGCAAGACTATCTGCTACTGCAGAATAATTGGCATGAGTCCAACAGCGGATTAATCAATTGGCGCTGTTGTATTTTTTACGTTGAATTTCGTTCATCCAATGTTCTCTTTGCCGACACCTCTTGACATTGCAAATGTCAAGTCTCCCACTTTTGAATTTAAAAGCTCATTTTTTGTGCTTCAGGAAAATCAGACGGATCAGACAATTGGAAGCAGCCAACATTCACAGGTTTGGTAAAGTAAGGTTCGTGTTGGACGGATGATTTTACGACGCAAAACTGATTTAACTCAGGAGGAATTCGAAGTAGCTTCGGAGAGTCCATTTTTAGGCAGCATGCAAATAATGTCATTCCCATCTCTCTGAAAAGCCACCATCAGTGTTGCGTGAAAATTTACTTTTTCATCGAGAGTATCTCTTAAGATATACATGTTATCTGCTGTTATATGTAATATACTACTTCTATTATCATTTGAGGTTGTAGAGGGTTTCAGATTAGGGGGAACAACTGGACCACTTGCTTTATCAAATTCTTGAAGGCTAAGACTTCCCAGAGAAGTATTAGCTTGTAGGATATTATTGTAGCTCCTTGTATGCCCAGCAACATGGAACCGGTTTGCCAACTTTTTGCTTCTTGTGGCCTGATGAAGAGTAAGACTGAGTCCAATATGTTTGGGTGTAAGTTTTTCCTTGCTAACACTATACACAATATCTTGGTCGATTGAAAAAATAACGTTACTAAGCAAAACATCTACTGGTGAGTTGAATGCTTCCTCTGAGTCAACATCTTGATCATCAGAGCACAAATCAGGTAGATGAGTATCGAGAATATCCTCAACTTTAATCAGGATACTCAAAAATGAGTGTAGTAGATCTGATATGACTGTGATACATGCAGCTCTAGAAACCTCGAGTGTCTAGTGGCCTACTAATGATTTCAGTTCATCTCGCAGGGCAGCGCTAACTATTGCGTGGAAGTTGCTATTCGCTGGCTGGAATCTGAATCGCCTCCTCACTGCATTTTTCGTCATCAGGCAACAGCTTATCTTTGTTGCAAATAACCTCTTAAGTCCCAATTGCAACTCACATGAACTAATCCACAATCCACACAATGTAAAATTTAAATTTGAGATCCACAAAATACAAGTAATACACGGCAATATCTAGCGGTATAACTGATGCATGCGCTTTCACGTTGCGCAGCGCAAAGTGTGAAATTTTCGGTATCTAGAAGGAAAAAATATTTTAGCCGCTTTTTAAATGAAATATGAGTTTTTGAAGTGAAAACTTCTTTAGAATCGTTGGGAGTGATTTGAGACTTGATGAAACGAAAAAGCGACACTAAAAAGAGACAAACATATAAATCTATGGGATTTACCCTGCGAGAGAATGAGATACAATACAGTACAGCGATTCCTATTCTTCGTCTCCTCTTTGTGCGGTGCTTCGTAGCCCTCCCCACTCTTGTATACCAACACCAACCGTTGTACGTATGTATGTTATGTGTGTAATGTATGTAGTTCAATGAAGGTTTCACTTCTATCGGATGCGAACTGCACACATATTTTGTTTTTTTTTTGTCCGTAGGTATATAGGAGATTTTGTTAAAACTAGATTGAGCATGCACCAAAATAATTTAAGATTTTCTAGTGGGTAACTTTGGGCCTAGGGCGTTGAAAGGGGAATGTAAATTTTACATAAAAACTCATCCCCCTTCAAATTATAGTTGACGTATTTCAGGGATATTTTTTAAAAAAGATAACTTACCATGTACGTGTTGAAGAAAACTATTATCAATGCAGATTTTCGGCTGAACTTAACAATTCTAAATACAACGCCTGCAAACTTTAACTAAATAGACACTAAATATTGTGCATATTCTTACCGCCTTGTCCGAGAGATAAGGTATGGCGCATTTTTAAATGATAATGTTAAATTTGAAAATAAATATATGTTTATATTATGTATTATATATCATTAAATTTCTCTTACCATGACGAAATTATGGAAAAATATTTTAAGTTCTAGGGTAGGGTATCATAACTCCTGCTTAGTATGCCACTGGACCAAATGTATATGGGATTGATGATTTTACCGACGTCAAAAGCTTTTTTCATATTTCTCTGTTCTCAAAAATATATAAGTGTATTTCTGATCACGCTCATGCGACTTAACTATCAAAAAACATGTGGTTTCGCAGTTTTCGGCCGCCATCTTGAATATCTCGTTTCCGGTTGAGATATCAACTTGGTAACAAGCATTTACGGATTCAGCGGGGTCAAATTAGCTGAAAAACACCATTAGCTAAAAAGTAACACGATTTGCTTCTATATTCATAAGGAAGGCTTTTTTCTCAAATATAGTCTTGACTATCATGCCTGGGGAAAATTTTGGAAGCAATCATTTAAAATAAAATGGAATATTTCTTTGAGATCAAGAATTTCTTTAGTCCGCAACAAAATGGATTCCGAAAAGGGAGAGGAACTACCTACAGATAACTTGGTGATATTGGCGAAAGAAATATACACAGCTTTCACACAAAACCAGACAGTGGTATGTGTCTTCATCGATCTCAAGGTGATCTCAAAGTCTTATTTTGTTCAACCTGTATACCAATAAAATACAAGAAGTAGCAGGAACACAAACAACAATTCTACAATATGCAGATGATTTGGCAATGTGTGTGGTGAAAAACATGGACAGGACTCGTAAAAAAGAACGGAGGAAATCATCAGCAGATTTTCTGGGTTTGAGACAATATACACAGATGCCTCCCTAGAACCCCCTTCGGGCGAATGCAAAATTGGGATATTTAACAAAACAAGAAATATCAAAATAATGGGGAAATCTATGGACAATACCAACATCTGTACAGCGGAAACTCTGGCTATATACGTGGCCCTCAAGTCCTTAAGAGAAGATACTAAAAAGGCTCTAATAATAGCAGACTCCAAAAGTGCAATACAAAAAATAGTTAGGAGTGGAATCAGAAGAGAATCTGACAAAATCACACGTTGAAGACTAGAAAACTAATTAATGGACCTGCGGGAAATTGGAGTGATAATAGAAATGATATGAATACCGGGGCACTCGGGTGTTGCAGGAAATGAGATGGCGGACAGGCTGACCTTGAGGGGCAGGATCTCAGACAATTATGTTAATAATGAGAGGCACTACTCAGAATATTACAAAAATGCTAAAGAGGAGGCATGGATAGAGTGGAACAACATTTACAGAGAAAAGGGAGACAGCTGTAATAGCAAATACTTTTCCATAGTGAAGGAACCTCAAAAGATACCCTGGTTTGAACAGTTCAATAAGGCTGATAGGATAGGCATAAAATAAGTGCATTCTGCAGAATGAGAAAGACTCATTGCAAAACACCCCAACATTTGTATAAAATTCGCATAGTTCCCAATGATAGATGTAAATATGGTGGAATGGGAGACATCACTTACGTCCTGCTGAATTGCAGACAGAGAAGAGTGCAAAATCAGTGTTGCCAGAAGAAATAATAAAAAAGTTTCGTGAGAATTGAGAAAGAAAATCGTGAGAAATCGTGAGACCAAGAATTGCTTAATAATATTATAAGAAAATGAAGCACAACAACGTTCTTTTTTAGATTTCTGCATTTCTGATAAAGTAAACATGATTTGCTCATCCTAATAAGGCGTATGTTCGCCAATTCTCGAGTTGTCAGCTGGTCTGCGAGTGACGTCACCACGATCAGACGATAATAGTGGTGATGCCATATGCATTGCTTGCGACTCAAGCTGTGCTTGTGAGGTAATTTTTTCGTCGATTTTAAATTTAGAAAAGGCGATTTTAACGTTTGGGAATTCGTTTTTTTGACCTAATTGTATAGTAGATTTCTATTTCGATTATTTTCAATTAAACATTATATTTAATTACTGGTTTGTATCACTATAAAGAGAATTCGTGAGAATTGCTACCTCATTCGTGAGATCGTGAAATTCTGACCAAAATCGTGTAATCTTACGAATAATCGTGAGATCTGACAACACTGTGCAAAATGATGAATTGTATTTAAAGCTATAGTTAAATACAAGAATGGTCCAATAATGTTAGAGGAAATCTTGGCCGACGACCCCACTAGCAGAGAAGCAAAATAAATCATGGACTATATTAAGAGGTATATAGGTAACATTGAAATTTGAAAGGCACACAAAATCCAAACACATCATAAAATGCATGGCATCATCACACATTTTAGTAGATCACATAGTTAATCATAGAATGCATGACAGTAGTAAAGTAGTCAACAAATAATAGTAATTTCCCATCTAGGTGTGAATGAAACAACCAATACAAGATCCTGTTTTTCACCTGGTGTAACCCCACCCAAGCACTGGTAACCACAGTGTGAAATCCCAGGTACAATCCTGAATCCTATTTTTCTAATCATTTACTAAACGGATCAAAACAGTTAATTCGATTATTCAAACTCTTCGGTAAAATTCATTTCAATTAACAGTCATTTGAATTAAATTTCTCTATCTATACTAAGCACAAAAATATTCAAAGTCAATTCATTCAAGATAATTATATTTATGCAATAAAGTTTCATAGTCAATTCACTTCATAGTCATTTCAATCATTGATAAAGTCAAAATAAAACTTGTCACTAGAGTACTTACATTTAAATTATCGTCGCTTAACTATTCTAATTATTATTCATTTCAAAATAGCTAGAGCACCCACATGAAAACTGAAAGGTTTACTTCTTTCTTAATTTGAGTTATTTACTGTAATTTTTATTTTTCCGAGGCCCGACTTTGTATACTTAAGATAATTCGTCACTTCTGAATACTACTAATTATTGAGTCTAATTCTCGATAATTGATCCATAATTTTCTCTACTTGAATGTTCGCCCCTTTTATATTATTATTTACCCACCACAATCGACAATATGGGTGATCGTTTGACCATCTGTAATTCAATTCTATTGGTCGACCTAGATATTATTTACAATTTTTTGATATCTCTACATAACCTTTGTAGTGGGGGATCAATATATAGAAAAATACCCTGAACAAGGAAACAAATAAAACTTCAAACTAATCCATATTTTCTTTATCATGTATTTCAGGGAAAGTTAAAAGGTAAATAAAATAAAAATCTTAAAAAAAATGTGTAGACTGTGGCTTTCACTAAAAGAACAATCAGTTTGTCCTATTTAGACATCTTCAAACTAAATAAGAAATACCGAATTTTAGCTAAAGATGGATTTCAATCCAGCGAAAATGATAAATTAAATAACTTCATTACAAATTTCCATCTTCAACTTCTGCAAGGCGCTTATATGAAGGAATCAAAATATAAGTGGTTGGGGTTCATTCCAACGGTATTTGGTCCATAACAATCTAAAAATTAAAATAATTCAATTGATAATTGATAAATTGCAACAACCAAAGTTAGTAAAACCACAAAAGCAGCACTACAAAAATGATTTATAAGCACTTAGTGGGCACATGAAATCATGAAAATGACAATTTCCTACCTTAGCGCACATTTCCCTATACTGCTTGTCGTCGCACCAGGGGCCTCGTTCCGGCAACTCTTTGCCTCGTCTGCGCAGCTCCTGGTTGACTTCTACCAAGTCCAAAATCGAAATCGGGTCCAGTTTGTGTCTGAATATCAGCCCCACTAAGTACTCGATGTAGTGCTGCCTGCCACACACAAAAACTTAGGGTTAGTGAAAATTTGTACAAACGATTGGTGATGGGTTGTGAGGAACTGAAAACAGGAGGAGTTTATTTTGACAGTAAAATACACAACACAATAAAAAGGGGGAAAACAAACTGCCTCTTACCTATTTGAAGATTCTGGTATGTTTATAAGGATTTTCAAGCAAATGTTTTTTATTAAAATATTATCTATTTATTACAAGAGAACATACTCTACGCATGAAAAAAACTTGAAAATCCTTTAAAGTCAAAGACGTTTTTGTTTTTTAAATCTACAAATTCCCTCACATCCCATCATCAACTTAAAACATATGGTACCTGCTTAAGTCTAAAATGGTACATCCCCTTAGGGGTACCGTAAGCGTTAGGAGGCAACTTTCTATTCGCCCTCCTCACGACAGTTTCCAAATCGTCCTCTTGCAATATCTCAATTGTTTCGATTTTATTTTTACGAATCAAAAAACACAAATACTCTATGTAGTGCATTCTAGGAAAGATTTGAATTTGTTCAAAAAGCAAACCAGCAAATATTATTACCTGCACAATCCAGCTTGTCCAGGATTAACTTCGTTACTACAAATAGTATCAATTAATCCGCTAGGTGTTTCTCGTTGCAGCGCAACTGGACATTTCTTGATTGCACCAACATTTTCTTCTTTATCCATGATTAATTCTGTATCGAACTTAACTTTGTGATCCTTGAGTAGTTTTTGCAACTCGTGAGGCTCCTTGTCTCTCAAATAAAACAAACAATTTCTCGGATGGTGAGCGTGCAAACCTAATTTGGCACAGTACTGACTCACGCCACATTTGGCACCCATCATGAACGGTTTTCCACAGCCGTAGCAAAATTCGTGTTTGCACTGGATGCAGGTGAAGTGCATGCAACCGCCTTTGGATAACGAGTATCTGAATTTGCATTTGGGACAATCGATACCGTTTTCGGCCAAATGTTTGGCTACAGCTGAAGCTTGGTTTTCTGGGTCGTTTGCGTCTTTCCACTCGATGAACTTTTCACATGTGATGCCTTCGTGTTGTTTTTCCCACTGGAAATAATTTTGTTTCAAAAACACTTATGTGTATACATGGTTCATAAAGTAAGGATCAGAAGTCAAAGTTAATTGGAAGTTATCACTGAAAAAAAATAACTAAAATTCTAATAGTCCCCATGAATATTTAGCTTCTGATTCCGAAAGATTCTGAAGCTTCTTTTGAAACCAAGTTTTATTTTGGACTAGTAAGACTTGACTTAATTCTACTTCTACTTATGCCTTTGATCTGAGTTTATGGACAATTGTGTACTTACTGGTCTTCTACAGTTTGCACAGGTAACAGATTTACAATCGGGACAAATGAGTCGTTTCTGTCTGGGATGGGCAATAAATCCGGACGAACACTAGACAACATACAACTTGCGGTAATTCAATTCAATTTTTTAGGCTGGACCTACCTGGACGCACCACTTGAAATTCGGATCTTGCATCAAAGTCCTGTCTCGCAGTTTTTGTTGAAACAGTTCGTGAACTTGCGGATCTATGATGCCTTTGAGTAGAATGTCTAGGTTACCGAAATAATCGGAAATTTCGTCTTCGGTTGCGCTGTTGTGACTATGGAAAATGTTCAATAAAATATTATCTTTTTGTTTGAAATTACTTACTTTAGTTCAGGAGCTTTACAAAACGGACAATTACACTCCATTATACTTCTATCAGTGATTTGTACTGTGAAGTAATTTTTGGCGCACTCTTGACAGCAACGATGAGTGCATTTTAGCATAGAAATAATCTGAAATTGAATCAATAAAAGTCTAAACATTTGAAGATTTTTATGTCTTGCCTTATTCATGGGATATTTGCCTGCACAAAGTTCACAATCCTGCTGCAAGTAAGCAATAGCAGCATCCAAACTGCTACAGTCTCTGACCGCTTCCAGGGCTTCTTCTGCAGAAAAATTCATGCCAACGAGGCTCGCAGCTAGCTCAGCTTGTTCATAGTTTTTTACTTGGCCTTCGGCCAAAAATCTTCTTGCCTGTCTCTAAAGAATTAGCTAGTTTGAAAAATGATATTGTAGATAGATTATCCATAATGATCCTTTTGGAATTCGCAAAGAAATATTATATATAGTCATATATAGTGTCCTTCAAAGTATATCAATTATGGTAGAGAGAAGTTGTTGGTTAAAGACGTGGTGGCACCGCCACTGATAGCCAAAATAGAGCTGCTTACAACCAGGGATGGCAAACAATCTACGAATTTCAGTAGAGGTCCAGATAACACATCATCCATTACTCGTTGGAATGTTGCGTAGACATTTTTTAAACCAAATGGCATCCGAATAAATTGGTAATGTCTGTTTCTACATAAAAAGATGTTTGGGGTGGCATAATTAGAACGAAATTAAACTATTTATTGCTTCATATTGACTCCAGAAATTGCATTTTGAGAAATTTTAATTCAGGGGCGTGAAAGAGTTTTATAGGAATTTATAGCATCCAAGGATACAGACTTTGGAAGGGGGACAGTTTTAGATAATTTCTGCTTCTTGAAACTCTGAAGACTGGAAATTAATGGTTTTAACTTTTCAAAGCAGTTCCTAACCTCCATAGACCAAGAAAATTGAGAAAAACTGCTGTACCTACATAGGAAACTGTATGATTATTCAAAAACTGTGAAAAGGATTGATGAAAATATCTACATTGTGGCGCAAACCGCAATTCAATATCTGCATTCGTTTTCAAGTTCAAGTTACGTCAGGTCTATGGTTTCCATAATATCGTACCTCGTCGATCTTAGTGAGATACCCTGTATTGTAAAGATGGTGCCGAAAATCAGTCTTTCCGCAGTATCTTCTTTTCAGTACGCCCTACGTAAATAATAGCTATTACAAAACTTATAGAGGGAAAAATTTCCTACAACTTTGTTGAATTACATTTGTTCGTGCGATCAATAATTTAGGAGTTATATTGATATAAGTAAGGACAAACTATTTAAATCGATGAAATACATTTGCTTGTAGCCCGCTACTGAACTTTGTTTCGCATATTGAGATTCCTCTTGGTGCTATCAACAACAACATTACAATTGAAGTTTGGCAGTGCTATGAGACTTTTATAGCGATTTGTGCAAAGTAAATACAATACGTGACCAAACACTTGTTACGATAAATTTATCATTTACGTAACATGTTCCATCTCTTCTTATGTTCATTATAAAGTTGTATTTTTTTCCATTCCAGAATCAGCAAAATAATAATTCCTAATATTCTAAAAATATCCACAAAGTTCAAAATAATACAAGTGCTGCCATCTATCCATCATGTGCGTAAAATGCAAATATCTATTAAATGAAGGTACTGCCATCTAGTACCTGATGGATTTATTTTTCAAAGTATGATTTTAATTATTTCGCATTTGTATTTTCATTGAAAGAAATTATATTTATCTCACTTTTAGCAAATGGATATATTTCTGTCTTTCTCTAACTTCTGATTCTGAAATAATCATTTTTTGACTCAATGACCTAATTAATTAACAGTTTTTCATTTTTAACATAACCCTAATTTAAATTATTATAATTTGTAATGTAAACAATTGAAATAATTCTAGTGGATTTTTATCTATTCTCTATTATTCCACGTGGTTTTTCATTGTGATTTCATTGTAAAGTGAATATGATCTTTTGGGTGTACTCGGCGTCTGATTGGTTGAACTGGTTTAAATGCAGTTAAGTATAAAAAAACACATATTCGTTTTCCTGTGGGGTTTGGTTTCTTAGACGTTCTCTTTTCCTCGCGAGTAGTCTAGCAGGCAAGTCATTTTTATCTTTAGTAATTTTTGCTTTAAATTTTTTGGATTCTCCCTCATAGATTTTTCAATATATTTCGCTATCAATTCATATTATCATATCATTGTTAAGTTTTTACCTGATAAATCTTATCTTATCTATTCTTGAAATATAAATATTATATTCTAATTTTTTTAATTTAATTGTTGGCTTCCATTTTGTGCTGATTGGTTGTGCCACGTTTTTTCTGAGGTAAGTCAATTTAGACTTTTGGACTAATAAATAGGTACTGTTGCTCTGGCTTTCAGAATTAATTGTTAGTTTGAGAATATTGGACTATTTGCTCTAAATAGAGTCGGTGAAAACCAAATTTGTGTGTCCATCCCTATCAACTCTTTATTGAATCCAGGCAGAGGTCTGAATAGCCATTTTCTGTTTGACTCCATCAATTATTATCTCGACTAAAGGGCGTATTTTTTTTAATAGAAATCCAGACAGGTCAAAAATTCAGTTAAAAAGTTTTAAATAAAACATCTCAAGAATTTTGTCATATTCTGGATTTGATTGATTTCACCTGAGGTTTATCTTGTAGTATACTTTTACTATAGTATATATATACTAGCTACCGTTATTTGAAAGGAAAATTTCGTCTATTTGGAGGAGAATCCAAAGATTTAATTTCTTATTGTTTTACCGTATTTTGTTCATATTTTTACCTGCTAGTGCTACTGTCAGAAAAGCAGCATTTTGCTAAATCATAACGAGCATTTTTATTTAATCTTGCTGTTATTATTGTAATGTTACTATTATTTTTTTTTATATAAAAATATCTTTTTTCCATTTGCAATAGCTGTTCGTACCTGATTCTGTTGGAAGGGAGTGTCTGTACAACAATAGTTTTACCTATATTAAATTTCAATATCAATTTCCTTTGCAAGACACTCACTTTTTGACAGAATTCAGGTATTTAATATTCCAAATATTGGTGATTGGTGAACTTGATATTGCCTTATTCTTTTCTGGGTACCTACTCGACATAAAGATCACTGTTTGGAGTCTGGATCAGCTGGAGTGACGTCACCCCAGCAATCTATCCTCTTTCCTGGATACAGGAAACAACACGAAGAGTTCCAGGTTGGAAAGGTACATGGTATCAGATTCACCGGAAAAAACCAAGCTGTCACACTAAAATTTTACAGAGAGTAACATTGACTGTTACATGTTACTACATAACATTGTGAACAAAATAAAATAATTGTTTGTTGGATTTTGAATTTAATTTGCACATAAAGGAGCTACACGTTATCTTAATTTTTTGAATTCCACGACCCTAGGTTATCTTGTCAGTAACAAATTTCAAATTAATTTGTGATGGGTATCCAGCTGATGCAGCAAATAAGAACACGAAAAGTGTAGAACGTTTTCTCAGTTCTAAAAACCAAACATCTGCGGACATATTATTTGATGAATCGATGATCTTGACATAGGTACTTACAATCCAGATTCCTAGCCAACGAACACAAGAGTCGTCTTATCCCCTTGCTGAAAAATAAATTTAAATGAGTCAAACTTCGCTGTTTATCAGGCTGGATTGTTAGGTCAGCAATAACCAAATCTTCATCGTTTAACTCTGTGTTTATCGTTGGAGAAGACATTGACTTACTCGTACTTTTAGTGGCGCTATAGCAAAGAATCATCTCTAAATGTATATTTCTTAAAGCCCGACAAAGGAACAAGTGCACAAACAATTTACTTTGCACAAAGTATAGAAGACCCAAGAGCAGCGGACAATGTATTAGTTGATTACGAAATTTCCGGAATTAAATAAAACTGTAGAAGTACTAAAGCAAGAAAGTGCAGACGCCGACGTAATCGCAACAGCAGGAGAAAACTGCTCGACTAAACTTTACGAAGTATCTCAAAAGAATATATCTCTGGATTTTCTTCGTTATGAGCATGTAATGACCCGGTAAAATAGACCCGTAATTTACAATGTCTTTACTGTAAAAATTAAATGTAATCAAATAATCAAAAACTGAATTTCCGGTATTTCAAATCAGTATAGATAAATTGAAAATGAAACAAATTAGCGTTGACCCCAAATTAAATTATATATACATTTACGTTAAAATTTTATTATTTAGTCACCAAGCGTGATGTCATCTCCTAAATCAAATCAATGAACTTATTAAAAGCGAGTTAAAAGTAATTAAATAGGTGATTTATGGCACGTGCACGTGTTTGTCGGTTTTCTTTGTGTTGTCCTCACATTCTCAAACCAAATCTGTTGTATATATAAACCAGGAAATTGCGACATAATTATTCGATTTTAAACAAATAAAAACCCGGAAGAGATCAATTACAAGGTTAAACACCCAAAATGACAAAAATTTCGAACAGATTGCATCATCCTCTAAAAATGATGAAATTAGTTTTTGAAATAATATCTAGGTCGTGTGGTCGACCAATAGAATTAAATTATAGATGGTCAAACGACCGCCCATTGTCGATTTTGGTTGGTAATTAATAATATTATGGGGGGAATCGAAAAAGATAAATACAGCGGTTTTAGCAGTGGAGGGCAGTTGAGTTGAGTTTAGTTTAAGTTCAGTCCAGTTGTTAGTCTTCAGCCTGCAGTCCGGTTTTGAGTTTAAAGTCTACAGTCCGAATAAAATTCGCGAAGAGCTTCTTTTATTTTATTTCCTCGGAAAAACGTGTTTAATCAAACTTTGTAAAAGTACAGAAAATTGTGAAAGAAAGAACATTTAAAGTCATTCAACATTATGTGCGAGCTCTAAGTAATCAAAAGAATTAATTAATGTGCCTAATCTGTAAATCGCCTTACATCACTGTAAATTTTAAAGTGCGTAAGTTTATATCGCGATGTATAACTGAAACTTACATTGAAGGCCTTAACTCGTATTCCGTAACACCTGCTGTAAAGTATATAGTTACAGCGCCCTATTTATAGCGCTCCAACATCATAGTAATAAACGTAACCTAATATTTTTATATTTTGACAATTTTTGAAGTTGAAATATTTTGGAAAAAACAGGAAAAAAGGTGAAGATAAATCAGATACATAGGTTTTTAGGCTTCTTGTGAGTGGTCCGATGTCGGCCCTTCCACTGTGACCTACGGTCTATTGTGGATTGTGGCTCACTCCGAGTTTATATTTTCCCCATCAGTCCAGCCCTTCTTATGAAGGTGGAGATAAGTATGGGGGAAGCATGCATTATGTATTCGGGTCGA